TATATACCATAAGATTCTGTAGGTGCCATGTAAGATACGTCACATGATTATTGTGTAATAAAAACGCCGCTGCTGTGAGGGTCCCCACATACGGTTCCATTTGCATGATAAGTGTCGTGAGAAGAAATCATAAAAGCTTAGATTTCTAGGTAAGGGTATGTGTGCTTTTCCTTTCTTTTTTTGCTTTTGTTCAATCAAATTCAAGGCTCTCAGAGTGGTCCTGAATTTTGATGATCAGTGAAGCCCTTAGCACACATCTACCCACATTGACGAACCTGCAAAATTCGCCAACCGTGGGGAAAATGAAAGACAAGGATCTACCCTTTATTCCAAAGCCGGGGACGGGGGCTAGCCGAGATTGATGATCATTCCTGTGTGTACTGGCTAGTATGTATGTGTATGCACCACAAGATGTGATAGCGAATAGGACACCTAGGGACCTGTGGCCGTGGTATCTTGTGTGACAGGTGAAAACCATATTACACTACCATGTTAAACTTGTCCGTTAGGTACCTTAATGTTAATTATTTGACTGAAATATGATGTTCCAATTTACGGTATCTTGGTCATTGATATAGGGTAGTGGTGATATTTGATGACGCTAAAACCTGAGTGATAGATTACTTTATTTGATAAGGTCACTATTAACGATTTGCCAGTGGTATCTCTCTACTCAATTAAAAAGCGTGGTAATACAATCCATAGAACGGGATAGCGAGTGGCCTATATCCTGAAGGCCGAGGCTCACTAATTGGATGTTTCTAACCCAGCCCACCGGAGATCATAAAAAGGTTGGGAAGTATACCGCCAGATAAAGTAAAATACATCATCATATAGAATTTCGAATTTAGAGTTCATGACGGTGCTCCGGCCAATTCAGGAATATGACGGTTCGGGGGTTTTGTGGTGTCTTGGCCACAAAAGTTCTCGTGATTTTCGCATAGCAACCAGCAGAAATTGCCTGAAAGACTAATCCACAAAGTCAGCAATCAGGATTCATACCTATGAGGTATGTTCTATCAACCTTCAACTCTCTAATAATATTAATATCTTTATATCTTTTGTGGTCGTGGAGTTATAGTCGTTTCATGACCCATCCTCGTGCAAAATCACGAGAACTTTTGTCACCCAACGATATATTCGGCAAACATTCTTGTTGTGTCTATTCGAAGTGCCCAAATGATACTGAAGATTTTAGCCTTGAGGTATGTTCTTCTTAGACCGTTTCTTGGGTCTGCCCTTGTTTTAGACCCAAATAAAGTATCCGAGGAAGACTCTTGTTTCCTGATACTCTATGTTAGACTACTGGTATGAAGATCGTGATCAACATAGCTTTCTCATTATATGACAGAAGCATCGGCTCCGTTAAGATATCCATGAATGCGTTGGCTGGACCACATTCATATTTGGCCAGCTCTAAATTTTTGGGCCATGGAGGCCAACGGCGCTGAACAGTCCCACCTGCGTGTTCCTAGATCACCGGGTGGCTATTCAGAGCTCAATAATACATGTATTCAACTGTCTGGATGACCTGGTATCGTTCATGAATCGACCAAGAACCGGATTTATTACTTTGGCTTCCTTTAAACAAAGGTTATAAGCCAAGTATCCTTTAGTTTATCAATTGCCTTCATGAGAGACAGTCATGATGTGGGTGCAAGATTAATTGATCGATCAGATGGGTGCTATCCATATGATAGCGTGAGCCATACGCTTTAGGGCATGTCCTTATTTATATACCGAGGGGAGATCACCAATAAGGCGCAAATTCTCGAATAGTCTTGCTCTAGTCCATATGCGAAGATTGTCCTTTTGCGAAGATTCGTATATGGCGGGTCGCCATATCGGAATATTCAGCCATGGCTAGAAGAAATCCGCTATTTTAGAAGTTCCCAAACGGCCAGGCCATATGTGGGTTACCGGTGTGGTGCTGGGATATAGTTTGTCATTTGAGCATTCTTTTGTAGTTGAGAGAGTGTTATAGGTGCCTTTGTAGCAAGGTATTATTCTCAACCCAAAAGACAGGCATAATACCAAGTATTACCAACCTTTTCCTAAGCCCTGCTCATCATTGCAAGTAGAAATAACGCCGCTACCTAGACCAATTAGACTATTGCAAATGAATTCCAATCAACACATTTTACCGGGTGGTGTGGAGACATGTTTCGAGGTTTTTTTTCCTCACGCCATCTTGGAATCTCACAAACGACCTGGCAGTTTAGGAACTTCAAAAATGGCGGGTTTTTTCCCGCCATGACTGAATATTCCGATATGGCGACCCGCCATATACGAATCTCCCCAAAGTGACCAGCTTCACATTTGGACTAGAGCAGTCTCATAGAGAAAATTCTTTCAAGATCTCTGTTTTTAGAACAAAGTCGTCAGCAGATAATTGGCAGATCCAGCAGCGAGAGTCTCCAATATTGGCAATAGTGAAAGTGTTCCCAGTGAGTGTACCAACACATGCTGCTCCAGACAAGGTCGACTAGCCGCAAGTACATGTGGGTAATCCTGTTCATCCTTAGGCTTTCGTAAAGTGCTGTAGTGTGACTGCAGTTGGAAGCTCGAGGGCAGCTACAAGTTAAAGATAGAACACTTCTTGTAGATTGTTCCTCCCTTCCTCGTTTACGGTTTACTGCCTGAAAGAAAATCCTTAGTCGCATACCAGGACCCTTTGTGAATATAAGAAGGAAGGGATAAAGAAATGGAGAGATAAAGAGATGGGGAGATGGGGCAGGGAAAGGAAGAGAAGGAGAGGAGGGAAGCGTGGGCGAGGGAGAGGGCGCCTTTTATGTTCTAGAATGGAACTAATACCCGGAGTTGCTAGGCTGGGTAACTGATGAGGGCCGGAGAATGACGTACCGAGGGTACAGACCGAGGGTTCTGACCCAAACCCAGCGAGGGGAGCTAGTCAGAGCGTGATTTCAATTGCTTTGAAGCAACGGAGTTACCAGTAACAACAGTGAACCTCTTTTTTCTGTACATCTATTTTCTTAGAATGGGAGTTTTCAAAGTGCAAGTGGAGTAAGATCGACTGCCGGGAAGGGGGTGCGACAGTGCCGTTAATTTGAACGGATTCGGGTATGGCCTCTGGCCAGCTCGAGTTCCCATGCATTCAAGGGAACTAGATTGGCTATAGTGGAAAAAAATTCATGAACAGCTTTTTAATCTATCGAAGTTTTAGAGCATCTATCGTGAGCATGGAAACTTGAGTGAGTGCACATGAGGATCAGGTACACCCAGGTCTGAGGTTTGATTCCAATTTTTACGCGTAGCCGATGCCGCTTACTCGTGACGTGATATCAAGTGCCGGCGTGTACAGTATGGCACACCAAAAACTAGAGAAATCTCCCAGGGCGCGATGTTTCTGTGGTTGTACTCTGTATTCTACACACAGCGTCTATCGACACTTATAATTAGGAGCGCTCTACTAGATGATAGGACAGCATAGACGAACCCCCACGACTCCCTTGTTCCAGAAACTAAATGTAAAGACCGTCACGTTTATGTATATAGATTGGCGAGGAGCCATGGATTCGGAGTCAAGTGTACCTACGATCAGAGCGAAATCGATTGGCTTCTATCCCCCCATCTCCCATCTTTACCTCCCGAATCAAACTCTATGGGTTCGATCCACTCAAAACCATCTATAGTGCTATTCTCCAGAGGGCAAGACATGACAAACAGCTCTAAATACCTTCTTCGACATGATCCTGGCCTCAAACCTCATCAACAAACCCCAATTTATCGTTATCCACCGAGATTATTGCGCAGGAATAACCCCAAACTAGGATACCGCGCCTGTGATTGATGGAAGAATTTGAAGAGTAACCACAACCAGGAAAACCATCCAGCCAGTTAAAATTCCTCCCCGGGGGGGAGGGGGGGCGTGGGGGGGGAAGTCTAACCATAGGTAGGTTTTTTGTAAGTTTGATCGCAGGAGATATTCAAATGGTACCCACTTATCAGATCAGGATCTTCCTTTATCTATGCCCCTATTCGGGGACGCAATGAGATTTCCTTGTCCCCCTCAGCTGTCTGGTAGGATGAGTATCTGCTAGATTGACTGGACCGAACCGCTCTGTGTGCCAAAACCTCACCCCGGCGACCCACCACCAACACCCCAACATATGAGAGAGAGTCGCACAAATCCCTCCATCCACCGTCTCCCAATACCACAATATTCTTCATAATAGAATTTAACCTGTACCAACCAATAGTTAATCATAGCCCCTCACTCGCATCCCCATAGCTGTCTGTCACGGGACTCGCCACACAGCTCCACGTGATACGCCACCAAACGCACTTCAAAAGCTTGGCAGCACACATTATCGTCACCGATCACTCGGTCTGTGGTGCATGAGTAATCACTCGTTAGGTGTATCTGCATCTGCACATGGTGGCAATGATTGTGGAAAACGCAGAAGGTGTATGCGATACCTAAACGAACATAAACACAATCCAGACTGTTAACCTGCGCGAGGCGTTACCAGCGCAAGGCGTTAAGTGCGAGAGGCGCCGCCTAGCTGCGTGAGGCTCAAGATTCAATTGTGGGGCCCGGTCTAGACTGCGCGTTAACTGCGTAAGGCGTTACCTGCGCAAGGCTCAATGCTTGTGAGAAGCAGGATAAGTGATATATCGGAACAGCCAATAGAGTAGATTTTATGTCTCCCCCGCCTACGCCTACGCCCACGCTCCAGACCGTCTAGATAAAGTGCGTATCATACATGACCACTGCCGTGACTGACCGACCGACCAATCGGTCGACACCAGCAGGCTAGCTAGCTAGCTATCATAACAGTATTTTAATACCAAGTAAAAAATAAAGAACAAGGAGAAGCTTAATAGTTAAAAAAGAAAGAAAAAAGAGGGCAGAACAAAACGACCCGAATTCAAAAACCCGAATGAATTCATCATACCCAAGAAAAAAGGAATATATAGAAATTAGAATACAAACACACACACACAAAAAAAAAAAAAAAAAAAAAAGGCAGCCCATATTACCACCTTCCCGCCCACTCCCTCTCCCTGCTCCTCATAGCCCTAACCGCCATCTTCTCCTCCTCGGTGCCAAGCCCTTCTACAAAAGCGTCATCGTACATTTCGACGCCCAACCCCAACTCCTTGCCCACATCAATCCCCACTCCAATCGGCACACTCTCCAAATACGTCTCAATAACCGCACCTCTTCCCTTCTCGCCCGCACCAACCTGCTCCCATCTCGCCCTCGTCGGCTGCGTGGCTGCCGGATAGAAAATCAGGTTCGTGTGGGGCTCATACACGCCCGCCGCGGCGCCCTGGAGGCGCTGCGCCAGCAGCCGCGAATTGAACTGCGATGCTGCGTGCGAGTGCTCAAACATCCAGTTCGTGTCCGTCACAACCACCCGCTTCTTCTTCGCCGCTGCTGCGCCGACAGGCAGGGGAACGGAGGGAGCGCCGGTGTGGTAGACGCTGCTGGCGCCGTGCCAGGCTACGTACTGGTTGCGGTTGTACTCTTCGCCTTTGGCAGGGAGACGGTCCTCGGGATCTGCGAGGTCGCCCTCGACTGCGCCTGCAGCGCGCTCTCGCGATTCCCAGTAGTCGTCTATGACCTTGCGCCCAGCGACCACAATGCGTGCGCCGAATTCGCGGAAGACGGATCGTGCGGTAACGACACCGATGGCGCGACCTTTGTAAGAGTGCGGGATGAGCTCGCGGTTGATCATGTCGTACTTCTCGTCGTCGTCCATGATGATCTTGAAGAGCTGTTTGTGCTTCTGGAAGAACAGGTAGCTATCTCTGAAACCTATGCAACGAGCCGGTTCGGTGGACAACATGTAAAGGCGCTCTCCACGACCCAGGATCGTGAAAGTACGGCAACGGTACTCGCGCCCACCAAGGAGGTAGCCGAGTTTGTCGACCTTGTCCTCGCCGGCGGGGTCCTCAGGGAGAACAATCTCATCGTTAATAACGGTCTGGGGGTTACCGTCTTTGTCGAGGGGGACGCTAGTGACGTGAGAAGGACCGCCGCGAGAGCGCATGCTTTTCGCCGAGGCAGGGGGACGCCCGCGGCGCTTCTTGGATGAAAGCGTGGTTAATGGGGTGGACGCAGCAGGAGTCCCAGCGTCAGAGGGGGGGTCATCATCATTGCGGAGGGGGGTGGAAGTCGAACGGAGAGCTTCGTCGAGGGCAGCACGAGAGGGACGGCCGCGCTTGCGCTTGAGTGTGCTATATGGGGCTGGCGTCGAGGGCTCTGTGTCATGGGGGGTTGAAGGAGGTGGGCTGGCCGAGTCTGCAGCGGGGGTGGACGTAGTGGTGGGGGTCAACGACTCTACTGCAGCAGGGGAGGCAGCGCCGTTAGATACTGAGGTAGTATTAGACAGAGGCTACTAGTACCAAGGTAAGTGGGGGAGTTCCTTACTGGGTGCTTTGCGGGGACGAGGCATGGCGATGTGTGTGCGAGGGATGACTTTCTTGCGTATGTTCTGTAATCGTCTGAGGCTCGTGGTCGTGATTTTTGTGATTGAATGGCCGAGTGATTGACGTGAAACTGTTTAGTCGTGTTTGCCCTTGTTATTGAAGTAGATCTCGTGATGCTGTATTAACTTCACGGTGGGTCTGGTGACGTTAAGTTTCTCGTGCGCGTTTTAATCAATCCAAACGTTCGTGCAGCGTCTCTCACAAACCCCAAAAGTGTCTTCTTCCTTTTTTTTTCTTTCTCTTTTTGATTATAATATCTCTCCTTCGTTAAACAAAGAGAGGGGTTCGTATTAAAGGAAAGTGGACGGTGTTGTGGGTGTTGAGGACTGAGAAGTTTGTGGAATGTCGTATTGGATTCTTCCGTCAGTCTATCGTCGCGACTTTCTATCCTCGGGGAGACGCGAGCCCTTTTGCGTCGTTGAGATGCCAGTTGCTAGTTGCCTTGCCGATAGGAGAAACAATCATCTCTGGGGGCGATTGGCGGTGGCCGGGTAACCTACATGTGCCAAATGCATAGGGCACACCAGTTACATTATGTATCATGTAGGGTTAGGTGTCAGTGTCACCCACCACATTCTCATCCGTTTGGTTCGTTTGGTTCGCGTGCGGAGGGCAGGCGATAGGTGTGATACATCCACAAACAACGAAATGGAATATGTGATTTGTGTGCATTACTAAGAGCACACTCCCGGCCATGAAATCAATAATAACATAAGGGTACATTACTCTGTTAATTAGGGTAAACACCGATAGGATTGCCCCCCTGCATGCTCGTATAAGATCTAGAGGAGATGATGCATCCTGTTCGTCCTGTTCGTCCTGTTCCTACTCCCTATAGCTGTTCATGTTGTTGCCTCCATGATCTCTGTCATACTCAAGAGCAAGATCTTTACCGAGAAAAAAACTGTCTGTTCCCGCCACTGCAGTACTATTGGTTCAAAGTGGCTTTTTGATTGGCCTGCACACCCTCTTCAATCGGGCCACCAAGCTTTTCTAGAAGAAAGACTAAGAAGTAGGTGAAAGCGGGCAACCCTGTATAATACATGTAAGCCTCCACTTGAGTCCATCCCACGTTTAATGACGTTAGTCGTTAGAATAATACATAGAAGGAAGGAGATCCCCGAAAAAAACAGCTTGATATAGTCTCCCAACGGCCCGGCGAGTGCTCATCCATAGTATCTCTGCACCGAGGAGGAATTCCGGCCCTGACAGCACTATACTATACATATCCTATACTATCCCGGTGGTATTTGAACTTTGACGTGCCTGTTACCCATACTATTCTCAATACTATTCTCAATACAGTTACCAGTGCACTTAACCCCTAGTTGCCATGGGGGCCTCTCACTCAAAATCTCCTCACAAAAGGCCCTCCTTTACACGTTCATCACGCAACAAAGCACATACTATCTTGACCCATCATATCATCAAATACAGCGATACCTCGACTCCCAACCAAAGCCACCAGAACGCATTATATATGGATTCAATAGACGTCGACAATGGCAAAGTACAGCCAGTCAATGAGCCCCTGCGGCTCCACGATCTCCCCAACGAACTTTTCCTCATCATCGGTGACGAGCTCTCCAACCCCCCCGACAGCTCTACCCTCTATTCCCTTATACTCACATCACGCCGTTTCAATTCTGTCCTGAAACCTCATTTGTTACGTCTAGCACTGCGTGACCGCCCCGATGGGACCCCACCCCTTCACTTCGCCGCCGCAGGATCACACATAGCACTTTTCATCCAGCTCCTCGGAAAGCTTCCCGAAGAAGACGTCAACCGGGAAGATAGCAAGGGCTGCACAGCACTACATATCGCACTTGACCACGACAGAACCGATTTCACAATCGCTCACGCGCTCATTGACAATCCAAACGTCGACCTAGATGCACGCAACAAGCTCGGGGAGACACCGCTGAAGCTCGCAGTTTCGAGAGGCCACGAAGGAATGGTAGCTCTGCTTCTTGCCAGAGGCGCTGACGTCCATCTCAGGGATACCAAGGACCAGACGGTTCTCCATATCGCGACCAGAAACTGGGGCAACGGGGGTAGCACGGCGATCGCCGAACGCCTGCTAAAAGCAAGTATCGACGTTGACGCGCGAAACAACCTCGGCGAAACAGCGCTGCATAAGGCTGTGCTCTTCGCACACACGGATATGGTCCGACTTTTATTGGATTGGCGGGCGGATACGAGCATTGCCGATAATTGGTGGGGTGGCACGCCTCTCCATTGGGCTGCCGATATGGGGAAGGCCGAGATCGGAAAATTATTACTTGAGAGCGGGGCTGCAGTCGGCGCCAGGGACGTGTTCAAGGGAGGCACACCCTTCCACTGGGCGGCAAAACGGCCATCTGAGGCTATGCTCAGATTGCTCCTAAGAGAGGGTGCAGATGTAATGAGCGTTGATAACTCTGGAAAGAGGGCTGTTGATTGGATAGTCAGGCAGGATAGACGACGCGGGATGAGGGACGAGAGAGTTATCGGGGAGTTGTTGACTACGGGTTCGGTTAACGAAAGGGTCTATGATAGGAGGGGAGATTGGCACCTTGCAAGTGAGGATCAGGGGTACGCCCTCGCTGCTCTCTACTGCTTCCATTTCGATCATGTGCGGAATAGCGCCAGGGCCCTTCAGGCGGAAGACTACACCTCAGGACCAGGACCGACGCTCGGCCGATAGCGGTTGCGATACCTTCTTTTGAATTTTCTTTTTTTATTGTTTCTTTAATCGAGAACTAAAGGATAGATTGGCTGGTTTGGGGGGTTCGTTTCCTGCCATTGTTTCTCCGATAAAGGGGTGGTGGCCGTCGAGTCTATTTCTTCTTCTTTTGCCGTTTTCTTTTAATCTTCTTGTAACATTATTCATGACCGGGATGTCTATTACGAATGAATTCCAACAAATACTGGTTGGAATTAAGACTTTAAGTTGTGTATTCTTTTCTTGACTTGAGTCGTCATCTCAAGCCATTTTCTTCCTATATTCTCTTCCTTTTGCATGTGGGTGTCAGCAGAAAGATAGATTTTCCTAGGGCAGGCCGCTGTTGCGTCTGGTAATATTAATTGCTGGCTATATAATTCCAGCTCCGATCCACACGATATTCATGCATGTGGTAGAGGGTTGATGCGAGTCGCGAAAAACCCTCTCTATTCCCTTGACAAGGAGGATATGGGGGGTTTATAGATGGGTTGGAAGGCAATCTGCCTGGTTGGTCTGTGTCATGGTGGTAGTACTTATGTTGCACAAAGTGAGCCAGGCGCCGAGTGAGAGTTTGTGGTGTGCCGTGGCTTTTTTTTGTTAATTTATTTATTGGGGGTACCGTGGCTTCTGCGACGAAGTTAGGTCAATATATGATTTGAAAACTTAAAGATATGCTCTATATAAGATGACGAGAAATTGCTTTCTGGTTTGTTGGGGATATATATGTGAGGTTGGGCCGGATTGAACAGAATGGAAGAGCTCAGATGAAACCCGAGGGCCGAGTGAGAGACTGTGATGCTATGCTTTTCTCTCTTCATTATCTGGTTAGTAGTTCTATTATGAATGCTGCTACCCTCAAAGTAATATCGTTGCCTGACCAGCTGGGGTAGATGACCTAGATCTGGTGGCATTTGACACGTGAGGTGCCTTTGCGAATTAGTTTCGGTTCAGAAATTGAAGTAACCATTCCCTTACGTATACATTAGGATAACGGTACTTTATTGGCCAATGAATATATGGCAATGGCCCCGAAAGCTTCCAGTCACGTGTTAAAATCTCGGCATCTCCTCTGCCTATCGTTTGCATGCCTAAGCTTCCTTTGAGGGCTGATGACACTTAGAATTAAATGGAACGTCCTCCTTATGATGTAAAGGACATATTTCAATGTTTTTGAGGGGAAACACCAACATAGAATCAAGCTACCTGGGAAGGGTCTTGACACTTTCTGTTAAACTATGTGTTGGCACCCCACCAGCGTGGATTTACGTCCCTTTGCCCATATTGCCCCTTAGGTGGAATTGCATATATATCTATCCTCGTCAGCAATCATATTTATACTAATATCATTCAGGATGAGCCTTTCTACCTCCCTATTTCTTCCCTCCAAGTCAGTTCCTCCTATCATCCGCGCTGGCCAAGACTGCGAAAACACGCACCGTCGTTTTCTCCGGGCTCTGCACAAAGGCGAACTTCACTTCCCTTCCCTAAAAATGTTCCTTCTCAGTGGGGTCTCTCCAAACATCACCAACCGCTTTAACCAAACAGCCCTGCACATTGCTGCTATACGCGGAGCTACTATGGTCGTATCCTTCCTTATCTCTATGCACGCCTTCCTTGATCTCCCCGACGTCCAAGGGTTCACACCACTCCACTATGCCGCAGCTCACAACCAGAGCGCTATCGTTAACATGCTTATTCAAGCTGGTGCCACTGTGGATGTCTTTAATTCCCAGGGACATACGCCGCTACATGTGGCTAACGAGTATGCGGTTGCAAAGTTGCTAATAGAGGGTGGTGCGGACGTGGACTTACCGACGATAAACGAGGGAGAGACGGCGCTGCATAAAGCTGCGAGGGCTGGGGATGGAAGGTTGGTTTTATTGTTGCTGGCGGAAGGGTCCGAGGTTGGGATTGTGGGTAGGGACGGTAGCACGCCGATGCATGAAGCGGCGAAGTGGTGTGATACCAAGACGCTCAGGGCATTGATCAGGTTTGGAGCGAGGATCGACGTGGCAGATAAGTGGGGATTCACGCCAACGATGAATTTGCAGTGGAGGACATCCGGAGAGGGTCATGTTGAAATGTTGAAGCTGTTTTGGACGGCGGGGGCGTGGAGGTAATTATGGTGAGCTAGTTACTATCAGTACGGTAACGTAAAATTACAAAATAGCCTGCAGCTGAAAATGGTGCTATTTTTTTTGCAGATACATGGCGGCACGTACGTGTCTACACGAATTGTTGCAGTTTTTTTATAGTGTGAAGCAGGCTTCACACGTGTGAGCAGAGGATCAAATTTGTATGCTTAGGTTATGCGTTCCTTTCTTCTCAAATGCGTTTGGCGGTAGCACAATGAATTCAATAAGTTGACTATATGGAAGAAAATAGCCTTTAACTTCCCGATTACTGATTTATACGCACGTTTTGTCTCATAACTCAGAATCGAAAGATATATTATCGAATCATAAATTCTCACTCGGTATCACATACTGTGCGGTAACTAAAAATTGAACATCGGATATAAACACGCCGTTCATCTTAGCTAATCTGCATCTCTGCATGCCCGTCTCTAAACCTTGTATGAATCCGAGAAATTTTTTAAGGCTGTAACATGTCGCCTGCCAAGTGGTCGAGTGGATTTGCGCATTGACTCCTTATTTGGGAGATTGAGGGAGACCACCTGTTTGTTCCATATATGGGAAATTCATGTTTTTTATATATGGCTAACGATGTAATTGTACAAAGGGATTAAACGATTGTGAAATAAAGTGCTACCCTTTTCAAGTTACGCACCATTCCAAGAAGGGAAAGCAAAATATTCCCTAATTATGATTTATAGCTAGCTTTCCACAGCCTAACCATCCATGTTCATGGAATTGAAATCCGAGAAACTGTACAAATCGCGATAACCATCCTCGTCGATCCAGAGGCGATCTGAGTCCCCGACGCATATATTGTCATGGTATCTATTTAGCCCCAATATTAGTGGCCCTAGTTATATAATTATAACCGCTGTCCATGAGGAACTACTCACAGGAAGAGGCCGACAACGTTCACGGCGTATCCGGAGAGAAGGTGTTTCCGTAAGAGTTCGAAATTCGTGAACTGACAGCATTGACCATATTCACAGGTAATAGTCACGCAGGTACCCCACAAGGTGGTATTTGAGAGTATATTAGTCAAATCTCATGTGATGCTTGGTGTAAATTAAAGGGTTGTAATAGAACTTCGAGTGAGATAGTGACGGATGGGGGGAGGGAGAAAATATTTTACCTGGAAGTTCCTCTGATTACAGCCAACGAAACTGTAAGTCGCTGCCCTTGGCTTAAGAGCTTCATCTCCGGTAATAGCAGGTGAAGTCTCCGGAACTGGAATTGCCTCACGCTCCACTAATTCGATGGGAGAAGCATAGACCATGAAGGTGAATACGCTAATGAGGAGGAGGAGCACAGAAGTGAAACGCATTCTCTAGGGGGAGTGGAAATGTGTACCTAGAATATTCAGTAAAGTCGTCGGTAAAGTCGTTTTTCGAGCTCTGATTTACGTGGGTAATGTCAATATTTTAGCAGAGGGAAAGTCGTTTTAAGGGAAATTGGACGACTTTACAGACGTCTTTTTAATGATTTACAATGACATTACCGACGACTTTACGGACACCTTTACCTGTCACGCTTCTGTCACTCATTTTGGGCGTATACAGAAGGGGGGATAAATTTTGGCCACCGGTGATGCTTCACATTATTGGCGAAGGCCATCGCCAATGAAACGAATCATCACAAGACATCCTACTATTATACCTGAAGCATCAAGTCAGAATACCCTACATGTATATGCCAAACAATGGATCCACCAAAATGAAATTGCATTCCCCAACTGTGACAAGCCCATTGATGCCAGATACCATTTGATGACCCCATCGAAATATTCTATTTGGGGATTCAACTATCTCGAGATCTAGAGGATAGGCTTCATTGGAAAACAGGAAACCCCGGAAACAGTCAGTAAAGTCGTATTTTATTACGTTTAACATGTCTTTAACGGGGAATGTCGTCAGTAAAGTCGTATCTTGTTGCCTTTAACAGGTAAATGCATCAGTAAAGGTGTCAGTAAAGTGTCGGTAATGGGACAGGAATGCCTTTAACACAGAGTAGGTCGGTTATTGCATCAAATAATGTGTATCTCGCAACTTTTTTGTATGGGAAACGTCAAAATTGATGCATTTCCACTCCTACTAGAGATTAATGTTTCTGAAATTATGATAATACTGGTTCTGAATGTGAAGAAAAGAGTTTGAATTTCTTGCCGGTGATGAGAACTTGAGGTATTGATTCTACAGCCTTATTTATACCTTTTCTCTCTATATATATAAGAACCGGCGTCAATGACTATTGGGGAGGCTCGCCGGTAGGTCTATCCCTTGGCCTGGTGAGACATGCAGATTCTGGACCCTACAAACTAGGCAGGTTTAGACTGTGGCCCAGTGCCTTTGCCTCCGTGGCGGCGAGCTCAGCCATATGATAATCCCATGGCAAAGTCACTGGGCCACAGTCTAAACCTGCTTAGTTTGGAGGGTCCCGAATCTACATGTCTTACCAGGCCAAGGGATTATATGAGAGGTTAGACATTCGATCCTCATGCATATTCTCAGTTCCCCTCACCTCCAGCTGGCAATGTTTGGTCATAATTAATTAATACAACTAACTATATATAAAAAGTACCGAGATATCATAATATCAACTTGTCCACATGGGCTACCAGGCCACTGTAGGGTTACCTAGATCATCTTAAAATGACTGTCGATCCCTAGAGTTGAAGCCATTCAGGGTCAGACAGCAGGCCTTCCTCAATGCGTCTCGTATTTATGTAAGGCTCTCCATGCTCTTGTGATAAGAAAAGATGGTTTGCTTTGGGTTCTAAATATGGAGTTTCAAGTTAATTATAATGGTTAATAACAGCTATTTTATAAATAAAACTGGGATCATTCAACATGAATTACCGCCGGATATTGTCTATTCTAACCTTCTTTAACTAATATTCGCCGTGCTGTTGAGTTACTGGCTGCTTTATTGCACTCTTGTGTTGTGGTTAATTATAAAAGTGTAGCTTTGCAATTGTGGTCTTGCAGATATGCCGGTTGGATCTTGCTGCAGTACATCGGTCTGATGTCAAAACACCCTCAACAGCCAGCTAGATGGTGATTCGGATGAGGACCAATCCCTAGTTCAAGTGTCGTTTGTCCCCAAAACTCTTAGTATCATAAACAATGGAAGCCTATCTAAAAGCGATCGTATCTTATTTTCTGTTACATCAATGTATTTAATTATTGTGTATTGGGATTTGGGGACATTCAGGTTCACCTCTAAACAAGTTCGTACTCATATTGCTCATAACATCAAGTTTTCACTTAGTAACGAATAGTCACATGCACCCACTGGATCTACTATAAACTCGACTTTAATATTCTCTATTCTTGGATACTGACCATATGCATATGAAAGCAGGAACACATAGAAATATTAGTTGGGCTGAGCAGCGACAATCTCATATGGCAGGGCCCAATTTAATCGCAAAGACAGCCAACTACACAGCATTCGATGAGGAGATTCGCTGCATCTTGGCAGGGTTAGCGCTAGGGAGTCCTTTAACATTCTGGTTTTGCGACACGTGGTTTGATCGATAAACTACTCTAGCTATGCCGCTTGGTTGACGCCCTAAAGTTTTAAATACGAGAGAGGTTGCCCCTCCCTTTTGCCCCAGCATGCACGACAGTACGGTACCCCTCGCTGGGTTTTATTTAGCTGACGCTTAAATTATTGATGACTGTTGGGATTTGCGTAGATCATAGTAATATCTATGGGAAAACAAATTTCGATATTTGTTTATCATTCCCAAATAGTTTTAATATTCAGGTGGCCGTCCTTTTTCCCGACTTGAATACATGTAGGTAGGTAGGTACATGTAGGTAGAGTACATGTAGTTATGCAGCTTACTCCTTTGACGGGTCCGTGGAATCACTGTCTCAGGTTTTGGTGCTACACATAAGGATAACGAATATGGCTGGATTCGCTTTGGTGGTGTGTCAATTTGAGTGGTGTAATAAGCCTTTTAAGAGGAAGAGCCTCAGCTAAAAGTTGATTTTGGCTAATGAGAATTCAAGATAGAAGTTGACACACCTACCTATCAAAGTGAGTAGAACTATGGACCCGGTACTGAGTGACAGATCAAGGATGATCACTCGTTCTTGGCATAGTTTCTAGCTCGCGATGAACGAACGAGAGTCTTTAGGTATCAGCCAGTCATGCTTTGTCCAAGAAAATGAGCTTTTTGTGGCAACACATCGTTTCCAGATAGCGAAACTGAATGTGCAGAAGCCTTGTTGATTCTAACCATCTCGTCGATTTCTGTGTGCCATAGAACCAGTTTTGCCATTACCCCAGTAGTGACTATGCTCTACAAGCAGTTAGGCGATATATTTTGGCGCGCATTGAGTCCCATCATCTCGAAGGTGTTGGCGGCGTCCGGAGGCCACTTCGCGATGATACTTTCTAGATTAAAATAGCCTTTAAAGGCTCTCTTGCTTCTTACTGTGATGCCAGGGAAAGAGATAAGCCCATATGAGATATTTGCCCCTGAACGTAGACTTTTCCGTATATTAAAACCCCGAAATTCATCTAAAGATCGTGTTAGAAATTGTTGTCCCTAGGTTGGCTGTTGTTGAATAAAGCTTGGTACATACATAGAAGGTTTCGATATGCCTGCTCGGAATTAGAGCCTCAATGACAACATGCAATATGCAATAACAATCATGCGCTGGTTATCCTCCATAGAAGCTAGAGGTGCTGTACCTATCGAAATCAAATTTAAACAGTCATAAAGTATATCTAGGGCCAGGATGAATAATGAGCTGCGAGTGTGTAGGTGCATAAGATTGATAAGGAGCTTGGACCATTCAGTAACCCTGACCCTTACCTTTAGCACCCCACCTTTTCCGTTGCATCTTTACAGCAGCCCTAACCACAAGTAACCATCCGCTCCATCACCTGCACGCGAACACCTTTACTCCATCGTTTCGTGTTTGTAAAGCTTCACCCCCCTCGATCAACCAGACTCTAATTAACCCCCCAACATCTCATCGGTTTCCTCCAACTAATACTCAAGATACCCAGACAAGATATACGCCCATCAGCGAGATATCAACTGAAATAACATCGCAAACATCATGAATCGTCAAGGTCCGACATCCCCGTGTTCTATCCACCCCCGAATACCACAGCTAGGTCAGAGGAGTAAACTAACCGGTTGTTCGTTCCTATTTATACTTAGGCCCCCCTAATCAGAATCCCATGAGACTACCAGGCTTTCCACCAGCCGCCACTGCTGCATCAAGAGGTGGAGGAATGCCCAACGGAAAAATCGGTTTGTGCGCCTTTACACCCCCCACTTGACCCAGGACCTCCGAGTTTCCTGATATCACGAAGTTTATGAAAGCTGATGTTTGGGCATGCGGCGTCGCTCGATTGGTATCTATAGGAGGAGGATGGCAAGGCGGACCTCCACCGGGAGTCCCAAATCCAGCGGGTAGCAGGCCTGGCTCTAGTCTTCCCTTTTCTCAACTTGCTAGCCAGCCTGGTACACCTTTAGATTTGAGGTTCGTATCCTACAACTTCTTCCTCGCGTCTAGTCACTGGTTCATGGTAGCTATTTGAGATGGACAATGCCAAAGAACCCGATATTGACATTTTGGATCATTTGGACAGCGAATTCCCCGCGCTCGGAGGACAGCCACAAAATACGAACGTTCAACCTTGGAATAGGATAAGCACTCAGTCGCCTTCATCACAGAATCGTCCGCCGCAACCAAACGATCTATTCCCGGATATGGATGGATATAGAATAGGTGGGAATGGGGGTGGCGGCGGTAGTCAAGGGCAATCCCAAGGAAGACAGCAGATGCAGCCCAATAGCTTGGATGACTTCCCAGCACTACCAAGAACAGCGCAGGGAGGCGATCATTTAGACGAACGAGGGTTTATGGGGATGGGCGCTATGGGGGCAGGAGGGCAGTACGGTTCTACACGGCAAGCAAATATGGGTGTTGCAGGGAGAAATGGATTAGGGATGGGGAATGCCCCGCCGCAGAGCAGGTTACTTGATGTCATGCAGCAGCCCGGAGGTGTGCCAATGTCAGATGTTGAAAAGAAGGTTGGTAGGCTCCATCTTATTTCGGATATGATGGCTTGAGTTGAGCTCTCAGCCAAGCTTTCGGCTTCTCCAATCCAAATACTGACTCCGGTAGAATTTGATGAAAGTAAATACCTCTTCAATGGTACCCAATGGAGCACCTGGTCTTCCAACAAACGCCGCCACAACAAATCTCTCGCAGCCATTACCGCCCCAAACAAACGCATCGCCTGCTCCAGGTTTACAAAACCCAATTGGCCATTCTTTAGGACAGCAACAGCCGCCCCCACAACAACAATCAAAATTTTCGTCTAACGCCAACGGTGTCGACTTCGGAGAAGGCTCAGTGGGTACAGGTACCGCTAGCAACATGATGGGAGAAACTGACAGATTTGGGCTTGGTGGACTTTTAAACCTTATCAGAGGGGAGAGCGGAGATTTTTCGATGTTAGCACTAGGCCAAGACCTAACACAACTAGGGCTTGATCTCAATCAACCCGAGTGATTATCCCTTTATTTCTTCCGCCTTAGGTAATTTGAGTCTGACCTAGTAAATAGGGCTCCTTTATATCCATCGTTTGCGTCACCTTGGGCGGACACTGACTCAAAACCTGTTGAACCGGATTTCCAGTTGCCTTCCTGTTACACGGTGCATAATGTCCAACCCCTAGGATCTAAAGTTGCAGCTTTTTCAGATGAAACCCTCTTCTATATTTTCTACACCATGCCAAGAGATGTAATGCAAGAGGTTGTCGCTACAGAACTGTCAGTACCACCCCAACCTACATTTTCGGGCGTTGAGAGCTGCTCCAGCTGATACAGAACCCATTTACATTTACAGATCGTCACGAAATTGGCGTTACCACACAGCTCTCAAGCTTTGGTTAACGAAAGATACGGCGAGTGATATTCGTCAAGTTTCTGAGACTGCTGAAAAGGGCATTTACGTTTTCTTCGATCCGAATCAGTGGGAACGAGTCAGGGTTAGTTTTAGCCAAAACGAAGCAGTTCATATCTGGAGGGGCAAGCAAATAAACTAGAGCTTTGCTAACTCATTTCTTTCCGCCTTGTGTGCTACAGAAAGAATATGTCCTGGATTACAACTTCCTAGATCATCGAGTGGCACCTATCATGATTGGGGGAGCGGGCTTATAGTTGAATATCTACTCATATCCATAGGTTGTCTGTTGCTGGGGTCTCGCTGGGTTGCATTTTTTTTTGCTGTCACAAAATGGAACGGCATGGAGTAGGTAGTGTGTGGAATGGAGCATATTTTCTCTCAAAGGTGGAGCTCTTTCTTAAAATCCGTGTGGTATCATTCCCTACCCCCCTCTGTATTCCCTATCATTTTTTGGAGATCCACGAGGTCCCTGGGTAATATTAGGATGAATACTTGTGGAGAATATGAACATACTTAATACTTGAGCGTTACATCATTGGTCATAAAGTCATTGGTGTTTATGATGAACCGGTGTAATAAACGGGTTCCAGGCCATATATTCTGGTCCTCGGAATACTCTCATGACTATAGTACTTATTTTTTTGTCCCTGCAAGATCAGAGCTGGGAAAGAGCTCACTCCAGCACCCGCCCTGCCAATCTTTTATAACGGACATCGAGATTTCTATCAAAGTTTCTAGGACATAAGTGTTGATATTACCTTATCACAATAGGAAGAGAATAGTAGACCTCGCCAGATATTTCCGTGAGATCAAATCCTGAGTCGGTAGCATTCCAATTCAATTTGGTCCTGGAAGGTTTTGTGGACGTTGTGTTCCATAGTCTCATATCTTATCGGATTCTTACCAGTTGCATCAGCTTACATGACACTGCCGGCTTGGTGCATATAATATCCCTAGCCCGCTCGATCATCATCCACAAGCAACCGGCGCACGCCAAACAATCTCAGACATTACCCCGAACACCAGATATCCGATATCTATCTCCACACCTTTCCCCATGATGATTAAAGCTTTTTATATTCGCGTGCTTAGATGATGTCGGGTGTGTTTACACATTCCCCGGTTACGCCAAACCCAATGGGGATAGTTTAGCCGAGACCCTGTTGATTCCATTTTTTTTCTCATCTAGCCCTGACCCTGGGTGCTGGCAGCATATCATGTAATTACATATCAACTCTTGAGCGGGAACACGGGACGATGACTGGGCGCAAACCTCTACCTACCTCCTAATATTACTCTACGTAGCGTAGGTTTCGTTTTTCTCTCTTTGCTCCTTCCCTAGATACGTACGGATAGAATAATTCAACATGTCGTCCCCGGCGCTTCCTCTTCCTCCAACCCCATCTGTGACGACGCCAAAGATTGTGGAGGTGCTGAAGCCAGAGGTGAAGACGCTTGAGAGGGTTTTGGTGGATTTTGTCTCTGCTGGTGCAGCGACATTGGCGGTTGCGCCTGGTATGACTCAATTCCTATTCCCATAATGTGCTTTGTGGGTAGTGGTCGCTGATTCCAATTGCTTATGAGTAGTTATTTGTTTGATCGATCGGTATGGAACTATCTCTTTCTCCGCAGTTGCTTCGAAATACAAACAGCATTCCCATGCGCATCATCAATTCCTATTCCCACATGAACCACTCTTTCCACAGTCCCTAAACGTTGGCAACCTTCAGTATTTGCCTAGAGCATGACAATTGACAGGACGTTTCTATTGGCAGGAGCGTTATTGAGAATGCCTCTGGACGATCAAAATCAGTGCTAGCGTCTGTAGGCACGTCATTGAAGACGCTGTTCACTTCACCTCACAAGTTTATTTTCTCGAAACCGTTTGCGCTGATCTATGTGAGTCACGCGCCCGACTTCCCTTCCTGGTACGGACACTTTTGGCTAATTGTGCAGCTCACATACTGCGGAACGTATCTTTCGGCAAACATGGTTGACACAATAGCCTCTATCCGGGACGGGACTGACATCAAGAGCGTTACCGCCGGCCCAGAGAAGTTTGCAACTACCTCGATGTAAGTGCTCCTGTTAGCTGGCTAGCTCTCCCGGTGCTGAGTAGATGGAAATGCAGTGTAAACATGAGTCTCGGGCTCGTAAAAGACCGATCCTTCGCGCGCATGTTCGGCACCGGTTCCCCACGACCTGTTCCAGCTCCTACGTTTGTCCTGTTTGCTGCCAGGGACGCAATGACGATCTTTTCCTCTTTCAACGTTCCCCCACTCCTCGCTCCGTATATGCCACAGGACATGCTTATGAAGCCGGAGAGTTGGGCACAATTCTTAGCACCGGCGAGTTGTCAGATCCTCAGCACGCCGCTTCATCTTCTAGGGCTGGACCTATACAATCGGGGGAATGTCAGTTGGAAGGAGAGGTGTAAGGTGATAAAGACGAATTACTTTCCAAGTGCGATGGCACGGATGTGCCGCATTCTACCTGCGTAGGTTACTCTTGAGAGAGAGCTGTGTGATGGTTGGTGGGTAAGATGCTGACATAATGCGGGGTGGTTGTAGATTCGGGTTTGGCGGGGTTACTAATGCGGCTGTGAGGAGGTCGTTGCTCGAGACATTAGAGAGTAGGTAAAGGAAGGATGAGATGAAAAGGGCCTTTTAAGGTAAGGAGGCTTCAGGGAACCCCGCGTTCGAGTTTGGTTTGGTTTTTTTCTTCTTCACATAAACTTACGGCTAGATGGCATTGAGGGCGTTGGGAATGGGGGTTATTGTTTTCTTTCTGTCTATTGTTTATGGGTAGCCCAATAGAGTTTATACAGTACATATATGTAGTCTACATATATGTACTCTACATTGTTAGTTGTTTGAAAGCTCCCAGGCGAGTTCTGATGATTTTAGTGGTTGTGACATTTACCATTGACAAGTGCGTAGGGCTACGTGAAGCGAGGGAGATATGCACATAAATTAACTTTATCCCGTTTGTAGGTAGGGCGTAGTAAGTTGGCTAAAAGGAGAGTGGAATGCTGCTTCGTGCATTGCCTGTTCCAGTTCGAGGGCCGAGTGATAGTTCGTGACTTTGAAACCGGTACCAACCCATCTCTTGATGTTTTATGCAGAGGTTATGTATGTATTTAAAGGTCAGAGAAGTGATGAGCAATTGCAGGCTTTCGACCCCACATGCGCCTACCTTTACGTATGTACGCCCATGTAGGTACAACGCTGCCACCCACCTACCTTACCTAGCTGTCTTGTCCCATCCTGTCAGTGTCAATCCAATCCAATCCAGTTGCCAACCAGGGTCGACTAGTTACGCGTTTGAGGCTCTTTATCCAGCTGCTTACTTAAGACGCGCGCGGTTCTCACACCCGAAATCGCGTTTTCCCCGCCTTAGCAATTAAACTAAGCCCAGTTGTACTCTCTCCTCTGACTCTGCATTGCCTGTCTTCTATTTAGAACTCACTTGCGCATTTATTAACTCGTCCACTTACTTGGGTGCGTGCGTGCGTGCTTGCTTGCTGCTCGCCTGCTCTGCTTGCCTGTGCTTTGCTTTGCTGCGCTGTGTTGTGCGGACTTTCCCTTACCCACTTCCGCCTTCGTCCGTTGGCCCCCCTCTCTCTCCTCCCTCCTGGTCCTGCTCCTTTACTCTTCCTCCTTCCCGATTCCTCCCCGCCTGATGATCACTTCCAGCCGACAGTCACTCTCCTCACCACCACCACCACCTCACTCTCTCATCCCTCCCGAAATCGTAACTTCCCAACTCCTCTACCAGCCCGACAATATTCAAGGCTTCCGCTCCTCTCACCTCCTCCTCCTTCCGAATCAGAAATGCCTCCAGCACGATCACGGGCAAACCCTGCCAACGACGACTCCCGTTCGGATACAAGTGTAGGCGGTGGATCACGCGAAAAAGCATCCACAGCTGAGAAGCGTCGACAGGCACTGGGAGCAGCAGCAGCAGCAGGGCTTGCGTCAGAAAAGTCGCTTCTTGCTCCTGCTACCACGAACGCGAACGGAACTCACGCCCATGAAGGGATCGAGGGTGTAAGTCAACTTCTCTTCAACTTTTCCATCGTCTCCTGACCCTTTTCGCCAAACACCAGATGGGCTGGCAAGGCATCGATCTCGACACACTCCACAGGTATCGTCACGCGTACAAGCTCCAAGTCCCTTCTGCGTCGGGTGGATTCAACAACACAGTGCTCTCTACGGGCATTGGAAGGAAGGCACCTAGTCGATCAAGGACCAGGAGTAGTCGAGATGCGTTAGCGACTGCTGTGAGGAAAAATTTCAATGCGCAGCCGATCCAGGAGAACGACGTCATCGTCAACTTCTTGTACTCAGTCAAAAATCAGGGTATTGCCTCTCCTCTCCTTTCTCCTCTGTGTGGTCGCGGGGGCAGAGGCTGACTGAATGATGGCGATGCAGATAAGCACTTCCGACTAAGATTTCCACCACCGTTCGCGAAAAAGCATGATTCATAAATCACCGGTCAGCTTCTACTTCTACCTGGCGTTGTTCTTCTTTCGATCACCTTTCCCACTTCGGACCGATAACCTTTGTTTTACTATCCGTCTTCTCTGGCGCGATCGTTTGGCGGTTTCTATTCTTTTGATTCTCTCTGTTTCTTTCTTCCTTTTCTCAGGTTTCCTTATTATGGGCATAATCTGCGGACGGTGTTTAGGTGTTTTGTTTCTATGGATATTTTTTCCTATTTTTCCCCTTTCGCCGTAACTATTATCATTATGGATTTGATTCATTATCTTTGTACAAAGGCGCCATGGATTGGTAGGCTATTATCATACCATTGAGATCATTGACTAGTTGTTTAGCATTTGGGGTTTCGGTTCTTATGCTGTAATGTTGGCATGCTGGGTGGAGCGGATAGCACTGGTCACTAGAAGGTTATACCTGCATAGCGACAAAAACGTTAGATATATTTTTCAAAATAAATAAATTCACCCGAAATCATCCGCTACCCCTTAACCGTAGTTATCTACATAACTGGATTTGGGTAGAGTAGATGCGCGCAAGTTGAGAGTCCAGCAGGCAGCGTGTTGGCGAACGCAAACATACACAGGAAAAAGGAAATATCGGTTTCTATATTAAGAAACCGCTGCATGGATTATCACTCGCATAGGCTGCCAAGCATAGTAGCAATGGCAAGTGTGATTGTTCGCCGGGAATCACCATAATCACCATAATCACCACCTACGCCACCGCTGAATTCGTAGGTAGGCGGGTACATGCATACATGTCGCCTGTATATGCAGATGGAGCTGTCTGTCTGCTCCAATAAGCACAGCTGATGAAGGCGTGCGTCATGATGTATCACTCGCACTTCTCTTGGGAGCTTGTATGTTCGTGTGTCGAAAGAGCCACACGTATTAATGGGATTCATGCGAGCGAGGTCGCTCAACAGTTAATCTCTCTAAGTCAAGTCAGCTTCTGCTTTATAAATAAGTGTGATATTTGTTCATGCTGTACCCATGGTGCAGTCAGTCATGACCTAACCCGAGTCAATCCTCGTCAAGGAGAACTCGTTTACTAAGAAGTGAAACGGTTTCTAACGGAGCGAATCTGCCCGAAACACGTGGAACGGAAGGTGATGTTTCCAACATGAAGAATGATGTTGGGGTCTCCGGTCATGCATGACCGGCTGTCTGAAGCCAAAGGCAAAAAAACCATCAGATATGGATTCTAGGCGCAACACTTGTATGGTGGAATTGTAAGTCGGTAAGTAGTCCAAGTCAGTAAGTAGTCGGCAAAGTATAACGTAGGGAGGGAATCGTAAGTTGGTTGGTGGGTTGGTGGACCCCCTCTCCTCCCTTTCGGAGAAGGGGGTGGGGGCTGATTTTGATAAATCTCCATCATGATAAGATAGCGCCCCTAGACTAGTTAGTTGTGCTTGACGTGATGAGGACTGACAGGCAGAGACAATTTTCAAGCACGATGAGAAAGAATTGCTCTGACTCAGACTGTAAAGGGTCCTTAGGGTTGGGAGTTAGCAGTTGGGAGTTAGGGGCTATTAGGGCCGTACCTCAATTTTCTTACATGAACCGCTTCTACCTAACCCGCTTGTGTGATTAATACTACAGGAACACATTCTCTGGAATTTCCGCCAGAAAAATGATTATATGTATATCCTGCTCATCTTTCATCAACGACCACCCTTCAACATCAACAACACTCGTCTATTCAGCTCAGCCATCTACCACACCAACCCAACAACCTCTATACACCTATAAATTCCAACACTTTCTTCACAGCCTTGAACCCTCTTCAGATATCTTGAAACATCGGGCTCAGACAACCTTACCATCACCAATTCAAGATTCTCGATACATACATGTAGGTTATTTGTCACATAGTGCCGGTAGTGGTGTGTCTGCTGCAGGTTGAGAGCAGCAATTAGTCATAGCCATTTCACAACAGGTAAAGTACATGTGATCAATCCATAGTTTTTCGAGGGGTTTGCTTCATGTATTGTGACACTTGGTTAAGCCTCGTATCATAGGGCAGCTGTAGCAAACTTTGAAAGTACCAGCACGTGCATCTGTCCGGCGAGGTTGAAGCAGCGCCATGACTGAAGTCTACCCTAGCTAATACATATCATGCTGTCGAATGAACGGGCACGGACGAGCTATTGCAAATCGTTTCATATGGCTATACCGCAAACATGGTCTCATGCTCACTTTCTAAGATGATACTGTTTCCGCTTTGGGCAACAATGAGAACAAACGAAACGCCCAACAACGACTCCTGACATTGACCAGTGGAGAGCGTCACGTCAGATACCCAGTCATTGGGCACCGAAATTCTACAGAGCAGAGAGTTTTATCGACAGGTAAATGTCTGTTGCCAGTATTCACTATGTGAGGTGGCTCTCATTCAACGGATGGAAAGCTACGCAATGACTTGCACATGGCGATATACTGAAATTACCGACGAAGGAAAGGTTGTCAAGAGTTTTCAAAGTCTTATCCTTCGTCTATTCTAGACGAGAAACACATACGCCGTTTCTCTCTTGGATGGTGGACTCTGGCGGCCTTCCTTTCCCCTGCGCATTCGCATTAAACCTACGCCCGCATGGCTCCCCATCATCACCAGCTATAGAATGAGCAACATTCAATCTTGAAAGAATAATATCGACGAACCCCGACATTATGAACGCCCTTGGTTTCTTATTACACGCAAGTAGTACCTTGAAGGTAGGTCATTTACTTCGACACCTACACCACTGACCCGGACACACCCCCTCAACCGGACGGTTATCATAACAAGAGGAAGATCTACTCGCTCTCCTCCTGTAAAACCTGAAAATGTGGGTGACTAAAGCGGGACAGTTTGTATGGGGTCACGACGCTTCTCCATACAAATTATACTCGTTTGTGTCACTTCAGGTTCTTATGGAGGAGAGTGAGTCCTCCTAAAGAAGAGCAAGTACCTTATAACTGGATTCTATGCCTCTACTCAACCAAGCACCACCAACCGTCCGGATGATAGGGTGTACAGGTGAATGGTGGAGTCTTATCCCTTCGTCTGTCGAAGAATACTGCCCACGCTAAAGCTGGTACCAAGAGAGTGGCTTTTGCTTACAGATATCTTTAGCTTAATAACCAATTAATTAATGATTCGCCGAATTGCGATCCTCTATTGTAGGATGGGACGCATCAATAGACGAAGGGATAACGGGTGTTAAACATTATCATATCCATAGTGATATGCACGACATTATCTTTTTCTCCCAGTTCCCGGAAAAGCAGAACATAAAGGTCACATATTGGCTAAGGTAGGTCCCTCTAGTATTATTATCCCATGCGAGAGAATGCTCTTTATAGCTCTCCAACGGTAATATGCACTTTTGAACTACCTCGTGTAGGCAAGCGTAAGCTTCTACGCCCATATATAAAAGGTAAGGATGATTACTTAAACATCTTCCCTAGTCACTCAAACGCCGCGCTCGCTCGAACATTTAACGCAAAAAAGAAAGAATCTTTGTTATAACCATCAACTACTCGAGTGAGAGCGGTATTCGAGTGTCTAGGGAAGTCGTCTACCTCTCAATAAAAACTAGAGAGAGATTGAAAGTAAGAAAGAAATCTTGTAGTCTAACCGGAGATGGGAAAGAAGCTTCTTGCTCAAGAAGTCCAGCAAAACGCTAGCTTCCCGCATTTACAATGGCAATAGGAAACGGGTTCGAATACAGTGAGAGATATTAAATTCATATTTTGTTCCTCCTGTAGAGGTAGGTATTCCAACCTTCCGGCCGTGGGGGTTACTAGGTAACTGCATTTTTCTCGAAATTGCTGAATCTGGAGATTTTCTGATCTTCATTTCTTCCCCAATCAATTAGACGCCTTACCCCTCCACAGGAACACCCCCCTCAGTGGAACAGCTGGGCCTAAGAAAGGGCCTCTTTACCTCTTGTACCGGATTTCCTCACCAAACATTAACGAATCAACATCTGTTCAAGCGAGGGGAGTATTCCGGTGGAGTGGGAGGCGTCTATAAAGTATATCTGCTCAATATTGACTCATGGTGCCTGTGGCCGGATAAGCTACTAGATTAGTGCGAGTGACGATCCATGACTATAGATTAAGTACGCTTAAGTTCACCGCTCAAAGCCTAGATAGGCGGTGACAGAAAGGGAGATGGTCCAGGTAAGATTATTCGAGGTAGACCTACTCGAGATTGAAAGGCATGAATCCATCGCGTGTACGGGCATAGGGTCCAGGCCATAGCACGAGCCGAATAAGGATTGAAAGCACAAGTCGGGCTTAATAGACACCCGATTTTTTGTCTGCCGAGCGACTTTACCTTCGAATGCGGAAGGGGAAGGGTCTCAATGTCTTCGCCTCACCAAAAATTCTAGTATCTGCACCTCGATTCGCGCCAAATTTTAGGGCCGTTGTTTGGCTTCACGATATATATACTCATATATTTCCTCGATCTGTAGGTGAAATCACTCGACAGACAAAAGAAACCCGGAAAGCATATTGGATAAGCCTGCATAGTCTTTAGTTTAAGGCGCGTTTGTCTGAGCAATATGCAGGGCGTTCCGACTAGGAAGGCATTATGATTTTTCCTCAAACATCCTCAAGCTTTCGTCCCATAGAGGCTATCGTCATAAAGATAGGATCCAGCTATAATATCATCATATATCTTCTCAACGTTGCCCACCTATAGAAGGTAGGCCCTCGCCAGGAAGCTTCCTGTGTTTAGGTAAATTTCAGGCAAGGGGCCCCTCGGTGAATAGGAAAATCTCATCAATATGTTCATGCATCATGACTCCTCACTCGAGGTGAGCCTATCTTTGACCAGAACAATAGAATCAACTCGTACCATAGAAGAAAAAAGAATTTCTACGCATCAAGAAGTGTAATATATCATCTTACAAATACTTTGTGCAGACAGGCCATCTATGATCACATGGGCGTAGCAATCTTAAGGTTTGGCTCATGGAAGGTGAGTCGGATCGATGTTAGATGTCCTCTCAAAATATTTGAGCTCAAGTTGTCAGGTCCTAAATGCTGGAGAACGATACCTTGCATTGCCGATCATTGACCTGGACCAGCTTACCCCTCTCAGCGAGCATCACATAAGCATTGGCGGTGGAAAACATTATACCGGTGTTCCCTGGATATTTGGGATGAATCGCTGAAGAAATATGTTGACTGGGAGGCCAATTTTAGGCACGGGCTCAGCGAGTCGGGTTGGCCCATGGACCGGACCACACTACCGCTGTATGGAATCCTTAAGTAAACTCAGAAATTCTACCTATTCCTCGCAGCGGTTCTATCTACATGTAGGTAACGGGTTACTAAAAAGGTACGGAGGAACACCGTATCACATGAGTAACGACTATAGCTATTACTGCTGTGGAGAGTACACATCGATCTCCACACCCACGCCACCCAAAATAAAATTATACTCACAAAATATCACTCACCCTATCCACCTCTTAGCCCAGTCTCTATCCCACCCCATCCCTCTCCACCACTCCGGCCGCCATCCCTCTCCGCAATCCCTCATCTCCACCCGCTACAGGAACCCGGGGAACCACCGGCACGCAAGCCCGGCTGCGCAAGTCTGGCTGGCCCCCACAGATATAGTAGGGATGAATTGGGCGCGCGCAGATAGATAGTACCTGCTATATAACCCATCCGGGTTTCCACCAAATCTTATCTCGACCCAGATCGCTACGTTACCGAGCTGCCCACAGCCCCCCCCCCCCCTTTTTTTTTCTTAAGCGAACTTGGTTGGGGTGTTTTGACAGCGGGTGATCCGCCGGCAGTTTTCAGTGTCGGGACCCTCCCCCCCCCCAATCCACCTCACCGTAAATAAGATGGGGAAACTCGGGGGCGGTTGGGCCTGCGTGCACAAAGCTCGGCTGTTGGTTTGCGGTGACCAGGGTTTGCGGGTAGCGGGACGTACACAGAGCGAGAAGGAAACATCGTTCCATAACATCTGATCCTGTGGGGCCCCGGGGGGGGGGGGGGCTAGACCGTTTTACAAAATAGCCGTTACGTGCTGCATGCAGGGATGGGGTGATGGGGGAGTAAGTACATGTAGTATACATGTAATACATGTAGTGGGAAGGTGGAAACATTGCCTCCGAATTAACTACATGTGAGTATGTACAATGTAGTCAACTCCAAACGTACCCCAACCTGAAACCCAGGTCGGTGGCCAGCTAAACGGCCGGCCGTCGATATATGCGATGGACTACGATCACTCGATGGCCGAGATCTGGAGAGTTAATACCGCAAAAGGGGGGAGGGTTACACGCTAATTACTTGTTATTCCGGATCCACCACAGGCAGCTAACTAACCCTCGGCATGGCATGAGGTGATATCTCAACGATTGAGATCCGAAGAAGATTATCGTGCCATGGCCGGGGATACGAATACGCTGATGAGGCAGGCAGGTAGGTTTTCGCTGAGGAAATCGGGGACGGCCCGACGCCCGTGATTATCATATGCTCGGAGAAGGAGGTTATGTGCCTTTTCTTGAATTCTTACAACATGTGTTTGAATAAGAATATACCATGGCCTATCAAACGTACCCACATACCACATGCCTACTCTAGGACAAACTTAATTCCCCGCGAATGCGCATACCCCAAATGGCCCCGCGTCCGGGGAATAATCTAAAAACGAACAGACATGCGCAGATACCAAAGGGCCATTATTTCTCCCCATGGCGTGAGGTGTAAGCATACCCAAACCCCTTACCCACCCGACATCTGATCGTGCAGCTGTCAGAAGTTTTTTTTTTATATATTAATTTTCCTTCACATGAGAGCCGGAAAAAAAGTCCATCAGGAATCTTAATTTTATTTTTAATTCTTCAAAACCGGCAGACCCAATCCCAACTACCGAGGGGAGAAAGAAAGAGAAAGAAAAAACAAACTACCAAACTACTACTCCTGATTACATGGGTGTCAATGATTAATGATACCCCATAATTTCGAAAAATCATCTCTCTCTCTGCCATCATCAATCACCCCATATTTTATTGCCTGACATTATTATTTTTCTCCTTCAAACCCAAGCTGAGTGAGATTCCCTCCCCGCGTCTCCCCACAAATCACCCCTCAATTACTCCCCTTCCCGTCCTTCTGCCCCGCAACAGCAAGTGTCGTAAGTCCATTTACCCCGTCCGTGTCAGCAGCAGTCAGCACTTTTACCGGCGCCCCGCCATTATCCAAGCCCCCCTCCTCATCAGACCAGTCCTCGTCCGTATCCTCCTCATCGCTGCCCCGCACCACGCCCAACTCCAACCCCGTTTTCCGTCGCTTTGGTTCCGGGGACCCGGTCACCACCAGCGACTGCGACCGGGGTGTGAACGCTGCGGAATAGGAGGGCGATGGTGGGGGCGGTGATAGGGGTGATGATGTGGGCGGCGGTGATAGGGGCGATGATGTGGGCGGCGGTGACTGTGCGGAGGGTGTCTCTAGGGGTATTGCTGATATCTGGGATGGGTCGAGGTCGGCCTCCTCTGATAGCTTGGCTAACGTAGATGCAGATGGGGTTCCATCAGGTGACTCTGAGAAAAATACTCTCTTGTCTTTTAATGTAGGGCGTGTAGGCGCGGGCGTGAGAGGGCCCAGGAGCTCTACGTCTGATATGCCGCCGTCGTGGATCTGCACGATTACAATGACGACTTTGCCTTCAATTCCGCTTTCAAAGTCGTGGTAGGTCCTGCCGTTCCCTTTTAGGATCGAGACGAAGCGGATTTGCTGGATGGGCACCGAGTCGGGATTCGCTAGCTTGGAGGGGGATATACTATTACGGTGGATGTAGAGTCTTGTATATAACGCCGCAGACCACAATGGCGATATGACAGCCGGTTGAAGAATTGCCCTTGACCCAGCGATTACGCGGGTTGTCATTTGGTTTATTACAAGTATCTATATCTACAAATTTAGCATCGCGGGGCGGGGCGGAGGAGGTGGGAGCGGGGATTGGTACCGCTATCTTCCTCGTGACAGCCAGCCGCTCAAGCGCCTTTGCCAGGTCCACCATGACCGCAAACTTCCGCGGCGGCTGCTTCGGCCCCGGCGATGCTGACCCTGACCCGCGCTTATCGGCGCCGGCAGGCAGCTTCTTATGGAAGTCCTCACTCCCGGGCGGGAACGCCGCCGTGAACACCGTACCCACATTGTCGATCACCACCAGCCCTGTGCCCTCTGGCGGGAATGTAGAGCCTGGCAGCGGGTGCAAGAACAGCGCCAGCAAGTGTGGCAGGGACCTGGCATGCCAGGTCGTTAGTGATGCCATGTAGCCCTGTGGGTCCTCATCCGGGCGCGCCCGCGCAGCAATCATTGACAGCAGCCTCGATTTCGGGAGTGGGTGTGATGTGTCGATCCAGGTTACGCGGTGTCCTGATAGGAGGGTATTTGCGGCCATCTGCATCCTACCCGGCCGGTCAAAAAAAAACTAGCCATTGAGTGAGGGGTGGGGGGTTGTGTGTGTGTGCGATGTGCGATTGTTGACAACTTACGCCATTGCGGTTTTGCCAGCGCCGGGAGGGCCACAGAGCTCATGGACCTTGCTGGGCAGAAGGCCGGCTGAGGAGAGGTGGCTGTTAAGGGTACAGGAGCCGGTGGAGATCGTGGGTGATTGGGAGGTGGTGGAGGTGGTCAGGGCTTGTGAGGCTGAGATGGAGTGCAGACGATCTGTTTTGGGGGGGTGGGATTTGAGGTTTGTGTTAGCTGCAAGGAGCGCTGTGAGGTAAGGCGGGAAACATCATCACTGCATGGATGAATGCCTGCTTACGAGAAGACGAGATTGATGCCATGGTGTTTGGTGTTTGATGTTTCGTTTGGGGAGGAGAGGGGGGCTGGAGTGACCGGCCTGGGGCTGGGGCACATGTGTATGCGTAGGGTATGTGCGATGTGTAATGTGTAATGTGTGATGGTGGTGATGTGTGGTGTGGTGATATTTGGTGATGATGATGATGTTGATGCGGATTGACAGGTTGTGTGTGTGCTGGGGGGGAGACGCGTTGAGTGTTTGACACGTGAGGTAAACTATCTACCGTAAGGGTAGAAAATGGTACAGGGGCAGAAAAACAGAACTCTATCATGTACCGGGATAGGGCAGAAACAAAAAGCAAAACAAACGGATAGACATCCCGATGTTCAGACGAATGCCTCCAGGCTCTAGCTCTAGCTCTGCCAAATCATAACCAGGTTATCTGAAAATGTACCTGCCTGCTCTATGTGCTCAGTTCTATTCTGTCCTAGAGTACATGTACGAACTATGCTCTGGTTATCGGATTCTGAACCGTTAATCGGATTCTAGAATGGCCTTATCGAGATCGCCAGGGGAAAATTAAAGAATAGCCTCACGATTGGAGCCGCATAAACCCTGACTGCGCATCTCCCTTTTTTCCTCTCAACGGTTCCCGGCAGCTAGTAAAATTCTGACTTTAGAGGGTTCCACACAACCCTTCTAGTCGACTTCCAACAACCCCCCTCTAGGCCCTTTCCATACCTAAAATAGATGAGAAATTTGCAATACACTTAGACATGATTGATGATCATGATTGAGTTCCATAGCTCTCTCAAAAACTCTGCGACCACCCCCCAGCTCTCCTCCTCCTATTCCTCCTCCCCTCTACCGGGATTCTCATTCGAAACAGCTCATCCCACAGCTTAATTGTACCTGCAGATAATTCACCACCCGCTGCGCACCTATTCGTGGAGGGAAAAAAAAGTACCCCGGTTCATAAACAAGAGAAGGTACTAGTAAGGTGCATGCACTGACTGAGTGGAAGGGGTTTTCCGTGAGCAAGAAACTATCGCACTATTGCGTCTGCTATCGTTCTAACAACGTCCTACCATCGTCACTCGGGGCGCGCATTCACGCACGCGTTTTGTTTTTTTGTACATCTCTTCGATTCACATCCTCTTCATTCAACAGTCACAGGGTTACGATCAGCGATCCCCACCGTCACCTTTTTTTCGTTACCTACCCCGGTTCAACACACACGCGGTACCGTACATACATACTTGTACATCTTTTTCCTTTCAGAACCCGCTCTCGGCCGTCGTGAGACATCGAATCACACTATCACCCTCTCTCTCGTTCACCATGGTCGTGGAACTCCCCCCCACCGTGGCAGCCTCGTCACTGCAGCAATTCCTCATGTCAGGTGCCGCGGCGGTCATCAGCTGGCTGGTGTTCACCCGGTTGCTCAGAGCGGCAGACGTCGAGCCAAAGGGCGAGAAGATGGGGTTGGGTCCGGAGAAAAGCAACCTTGCAGATGAGTTTCAGTATGGCCCGGACGGAGATGAGGATTGGAAGGTCAAGAGCCTGTGGATATACCCCGTAAAGAGCTGCAGAGGGGTCGAGGTGGATGAGGTGAATGTAGTGCCTACTGGGTAAGTAAATTTTTTTGTTTTGTCTTGTCTTGCTTTCTTTTTTTATACTTTTTGTTTTGCCCACCCGCCGCGGTAAAGATGAAAGAATGAAGTGTAAAAGCTAACTACCGCTTGTTGTGATAGTTTTGAGCATGACCGTCAATTCGTAAGGAAACCTCCATTTGGATTGCTTTTCAATTATTTTATTTACTGCCCCGGCATATATAATTTTCCGCGCACTTTATGAAGAAATCACGAAACTACATACTTGTCTACATTTTACACTTGCATTTTATATATTTGCTTTTAAATTTGCTTCTTCTACCCCCAATACCCCAAAACAATGCCTCCAAGACCGCATGTATCGCCTTACGCGGCACCAACAAATGCTGTTTCATGATTTCTCACGCGGCACTTTTTTCCCTTCCAAATACCAAATAACAAAAAAAAAAATTAAAACCCTTCCCCTCAAAAGAAAACCCATGTCCAACAACTAACCCCGTGCCCACCCCCCCCCCCCCCCCCCGCACCCCGCGGCAATCCCACGAGGCGCCCCCACCCCAGTCAACAAAATGTCAGCCCATTTCTAACTCGCCCTGCACCCCACAGATGTTCACCGAACTCCGGCCCTGCCCGCGCACTGGCGTCTCTGAATGGAACTTCATCACGCAGCGCCAATACCCGCAGATGGCGCTCATCACACCCACCATCCACACGCAGCCCAAATCCCCCACCGGCGGGACCTTGAGCATCACATTTCCCCTCGCAGCCACGCCGCGCCCATTCCCGCTGTCACTGCTCCCAGCGGGTACGGGCACGAGGACATTCCACCTGCCGCTGTCGGGCAGCAAGGAGGTCATGGCGAGGTTCCCCCTCGTCAATGTAAAGATCTGGAAATGCACCCCCGAGGCATACGATGTCAGCAGCGTGATCCAGAGTGAGCTGAAGGAGCTCGCGGCCTTCCTCGGCGCGAAGGGTGAGGTCAGGCTCTTTAGGACCTGCGAGGAGCGGTTGAGAGAGGTGTACAGGAACGCGCCGAGGAAGGAGGAGCTGGGCTTCCAGAGTGTGATTGGGTTTGCGGATGCGGTATGTCCCGATATTGTCTACTCTACTCCCCTATATGACCCCCCACACTATGTGTGTACATTATGCAGGATTATGGGCCACACACCACACACATCGAAATTTACAATTTCACTGACTAGCGGATTTACTCCAATTTTTACAGTATCCAGTGCATATGCTCAACCTGGCTTCGGTGCGGGAACTAAATGGCAGGATCACAGACAAGATCCCAGATCTTAGCGTGAAGCGTTTTCGCGCCAATATCATTGGTATATTTCCTTTTTTTTCCTTTTTTTTTTCTCCCCCAGTTTCGTTTTCTGACATTGGTGATCATTGATATCTGGGCCAAGCCAACCAACTAACTAACGCTTTACTGCAGTTTCGGGACCTAAAGCATTCTCAGAAGATGATTGGAAGAAGATTACGTTTGGAGGAAAGATGTACTACGCTGGTAAGCGTCTACCCCCTAGCTACCTATCTAACTCTTCTCCCTTTGTTAGGGTAGAGTAATATTAGTACTAGTAGTAGCATATTCTAATACAAACCACCAGCTGCACGAACGGTCCGATGCCGCCTCCCAAACGTCAACCAGGACACCGGAGAGAAACACATGCAAGAACCCGACCAGACCATGCGCTCGTACCGCAACATTGACGCAGGGTCGCCGAAGAATGCATGTCTGGGCATGCAGCTCGTGCCCGCGGACGAGCGGAGCGTGCTCAGGGTCGGCGAGAAGCTGGGCGTCGTGGATACTGGCGAGCATTTGTATATTCCTTTGTTCTTGTGATTCTGTTTTCTTGTGGTTGATTTTTTTATTTTTTTTTTTTATAATGCGGGTGCCTTTTATATGCTGTTGGCTAATTGTTTGACTTTGTGTATTATGGGGGTAGATGATGACCATAGAAGCTGGGGTGCAAAAGTTTAATTTTTTCTGTACATGGCGTTTTTTTTACAATGGAAGGGATTGGGGGGGGAGGGGGGGGGTCTGCTATTGTAATGGGCGAGCGAGCGTTATGGCATGACATGGCGTGATATTACATACATGTATTCTAGTAGACATCCAAAAACATAGGCAATCACTCGACCAACTAGTGCGGTTATCCTGATTCCTGGGCCACTAAGAAACCACCAGCAGCCGTTGAAACTATCACGTTTCCGGCAACTACGTAAACTTTATTTCACTTGCGCTCTCCCCCAAAAAAATCTATTATCAAGTATGTAGGAGAGACCTAAACCACATTCCCACATTCCCTACCACACTCGCCGCTTCACGAGACTGAAATTACCGCACCGCAACCCCACGAAACGAATCCGGGGTTTCCGAGACATCTCACCCTCCACCACTACCTACTTCCGGACTACCTACATCTCATATCATATCAAAAAGTCGCTTAATCCCTATCTCATTCTCTCCCCTACAGCCCACTTAAAGTAGAGTACAGCTTCCCGTCCAGTCCGTAGGTAAGTACGTGGGGTACATATTCTCCGCCCCCATCCCGCCAATTTAAAAAACGCGCATAAAGTACATATATCCCACATCTCACATCCCACATCCCACACCCCGCCCCCACCGTACCGCCGATGCAGCCGCCTCCATGTCCACGGTCGCGGCGGCGGCACGGCGGCGACTTTGTTGCACTTTGATCATTGGTTGTGGTTGTGGTTGTGGTTGGTTGTGGTTGTGGCGGTGGGTGGGTGGCAATGATCAAGTTGTCAGCTTACTATGGTTACGTGAGATATGCGGTTACAGTGAGATATTGTTACAGTGAGATTTACACATATATGATGGCAGGATGACTTATGCTCTCTACGATACGATACGGATATCTACGATGACGCAGTAAGTGCGGAGGCTTGCCCGGTGGTTATATTGATATCACTGCCCCGGGAGGTCGGGTTGGTTGGAGGGGGGGTAAAGGATTTTTCCGGGTCAGCGGTGATGGGGATTGGGGTATAGGGGAACTGGGGGGTTTCTGGGCTGTTGATGATTGTCGATTATTGGTTGTGGGGAGATATCTGGCCTCCAGCCTTCGATTTTGCTTACCTGTCTCTACGCCGCTGTTCTGGCCGCAGATGTAGATATGTGTAGATATGTGTATCTGGTATGTAGATATGTGGTACCGTAGGGTATCTACTTTCCACAAGCATAAGGCGTAGACCATGTAGCTAGCTAGCTGTACCTACTATACCGTACCTAGAACCCGATATCTAGTAAAGGTCCTCACGTTTGGACTCTATTCAATCCATTCAGTAATAGCAGGGGTTTGACCGGGGTCTTCATTGGCCAACAAGGTTGGAATGGATTGAATTCACTCCAGAAGCCGAATGCTCCCTGGGACTCATTCGCATTCAAGAAAGGCTTAGGTTG